AAACCTGAATAGGTCTAGAAAACAAATATTAGTAAAAAAAATTCAAAAGAAAAAACTTACATAAATAAGCCATCGTTCATAACGATCACGTAAATTATGTAAAACTGAAGCATCATTTAAATAAGTTAAATTAGCCATATCATCGCAACAAGTAAATTTCGGTGGATTCATTTGTTGAACATCATCTTTTTTTAATGTCAAACTCTAAATAATATTAAATAAAACATAAAAGTAGGTTTGTTTTAACTAATTTTTTAATAGCATGTATATATGTATACCTCTCCTTTCGATGTTTTAACTGTTACTTCTTCACCTTTTGTACCAGTAATTTCAGCTTCAACAAATGATTCTTTTGCATTAGGCACCCAACATTGCTTTTTACCATCGAATGCTTGAGCTTGAAGTTTAATACGTTCTTCAGTTGGAAGAGACAAATATTTCATTGACTCTTTTAATTCAGGATCATTCGGATCGTAAATAATACTGCAAAAAAAAAGAAATTTATTATATTATCTTGTTCAGTTTTTAATATATCTTACCCTTCGATCGACATGATTATTTATTTGGTATTTTAGAAAAAGAATACGTTCAATACAATGCAATCTATATTTAAAAAAAACTTTTTTTTGTACTCAATAAACTATATGCTATCTATACTTACTATATCAAAAGATTTATAATTCTGCTCGTGTTAACCGCTTGTTTTGTTGAATAACAAGTGGTTATATAGTTTCTATATTACTATTCGAGAAGAGAGAAATAGAATTATCTTCTCTCTCTCTTTCTCTTATTAACTATTGATTGGCTAAACTAAAATAGATAGATATCCAAAAGTAGCCGAAATTTCAACACTTATTATCTAGATGTAATGATGATGAGTTGAAAAGAAATAGATATAGAACCTCCTCTCTTCCTCCTCCATTGGATATTTATGGAAGCATAATCAACAAGTTACCTAAATACAGATTTTTACTCAATATATCTTTATTTTAACCTTGAGATACAAAATAAATACTTAATATAATCAAAATAATGTGGTTTATCTTCTTGTCAACATCTAAGAGTAGAAGAGAGACAAAATCTTACTAGTCTGTGATGTAGGTGTATCTAAATTAATTTTTCTATAATCATTCATAACAAATTCCACAGTTCTTGTTATTCGAATAACTTTATCTCTAACTATAGCAATTGTATATATCATACGTTTATTTAAATGTGCAAACTTTCTAAAAACTATACAACAAATTATAATTTTAAAAGATTTATCAATGCAATGCGACACAAAGCATGAGATTATCTCATCAACGAAAAATCATAAATTAATAGTTGAAATGCGAGATCAACATATCAAGATCGAACTGATATCGTCCGTTTTCCGATTTTGACTTTTTCAGATTTCGAGATAATCAAAAGGAAAAATAAAAGCAAAAGTTAGGCGTTACTTGTTTCTAACAAATGTTTTACAGTTGATGATAGATAATGAATCATTAACTTCAACCTACTAAATTTAATTCTATAAATTTTCAACAAGAAAAGGTCTAGATCAGGATTAGAGATGTTCAAGAGCAGCTCCGGTCTCGGTCTCAATAAGCGAAGCTGGAACCAAATAATAAAGTTTTACTGAAACTGTGATCAGAACCAGGATCATTGAAAAAACAGCTGTCGGCTCATGACTGGAGCTAAGTACACACTAGACTCAAGTTCGCTACGATCGTGACTGATAAAAAATGAGTTTCCAGGACGGAGACCAGAAAAATCAATAAGAAATTTTGATACCACTGTTTCATAAAAGGTCTTTTACATCGTCTATATGTTATGCTTACATTAGCGTGTGGGTGTGATTATTGCTTTTCTTTCTCATACGCATCCTCACCCACCCATACCCACACCCTATATTTGAATAGGCATTTCTCTCAAGTTCTTTTAAAGTTTTACGAATGAATGAAAACATGGATTGACAAATTCTCTGTGTTATTGTTTTGTGTGTTTTTCTCATGTATGGAAAGTTTCGCGAAATAGTTACAAAATAATCAACTATTTTCATACGATTTTAATCAATAGTTTCAACAGTAATAATTACACAAAAGTTATCAATAAATCGATTATTTCGTGACTATTTCACAAAAATTTTTTTTATATGGATTGTAGTGATGTATCTTAATGGAGGCAATATGTTTGTAAAAAAACGTATTTCTTTCTGACTCCATGTGCTTCACGCATTTCTGCTTGAAGTCACATAATTTATCTTTGGTAGGAGAATAAGATACAATCGTCGAAACGTTTCATTTGTATCATCAAATCATAAGTATTATTCGATGTTTTTCATTCATCTTTCCCATTCGATTACAGTAGAAAAATCCAAAGAAATAAATTATCTTCTTTATTTTTGTTAACTAAATGCAACAAGTTGCTTAGTACAAACTAAAGGAACAGAATTAAATCAAGTGTCAGACATAAATCTAAAATTATTATTTTCCTATTATTCTTTTCTAATTATTTTCAGACAATAATATTTCATTCATTTATTTAAAAATATCTAATATGATATGTTTTTTGTAATATGTTTAAGAAATTCGTTATTTTAAAGACTCATGAGTTCTAATCAATCTATAATTGCAATTCCTTAACACGTATAATAGAATAAATTTTATTTTTTGTTCAATAAATATATTCCTCGAAGGTTGAAACAATTATTTATATATAATATCGATTTGTAAATAATTATAATCATATTTTTAATGAATATTATATTTAGTCTTATAGAAAATATCTTTGGTATTATGTAACTATTTGAAAATGCATGATAATCTTAAAATAAAATTCTATCTCTTATAAATATATATGTGAATTCTATTTATTATATTGTTTTTTTTACCGTTAATAAAACTCTAACTTAAAGATTCATGGTTGTATAGAGATTAAAAGCAATCGATAATTTATTGTTTTTTCGTTTTTGTCTAAACCAATCATTGAATTTACTGTCCCTGAGTCTTTAATGATACTATGTTACTCCTACGCGATAGGTAAGAAGAAAACATTCGGTATATTTATATCTATTAAAAAAAAGTACCTAAAATTTTTGCCTTTAACGCAATGCTGCCTACGGTTTTTGACAATATGAAGAAAATAGATAAAATAGATGAAGGACGCAAAATCAATGAAGCAAAGAGTATCGAATCACTCTTTACAATAGTATATATAGACCTATAATATACTTCACGTTTCATACTAGTTTATATTTGAAAAGAATATGAGTGATAAAGAGCCTTTATTAAAGAAACATAACAAATTACCTATTGGCAATGATAGCGACAATGAAAACAAAAGGTACGATTTAAAAATAATATATCATATTGATAAATACATAACGAATTTATTATTATTTTTAGTTTTTCGGAGTGGCGTCAATATTTCAAACAGCAAAAGACTAATGCTAGGAATAAAAAGTTAGATGATGAGATCAAACATACGAATATAGATATTCCAGTCGGTGTTTTTCAATTGGTAAATATATTCAAACATAATATATCATAAGAGAATATAATAAAAATACTAAATTGAAAGCATATTGTTTTTCTTTTTAATATATATATATATATGAATTATTTCATTTCATTTAATCATAGTTTCGATTTGCTGATCGTATTGATATTCTTCTTCTAATTCTTGGTTTATGTTTCATGTTGACGCTTATAGTTAGTATTCGTGTAAATGTAATTCTTTTCGGTCGAATCACGGGATTATTTGTTACTACATCGTTTGCTGTTGATTGTCATAATCAATATAAAAATTTAGTACCTACAATTATCAATAATAGTGTATGTCCTTTTGGTATTGATCTTAATCCATTAAATTTTGATCGATTACACAAGTAATTTATTGAAAAATATTCTTATTTTGAATTTTCTAAAATTACTCATTCGTAGGCTATGTCATTATGATAATAGAAGTATTTCATCCACATTAGCTCCATTAACACCTTTATTTCATGAAAATATTATGCATCTAGTTTATTGGTTCTTCGGTAAGTCTATTGAATATAATGATTTAAATTTAAAAAAACAAATGATTTGTTACTTCTCTGTATCAATGTAGGTATCAGTATTGCTACATTTCTAAGTGGTTTTTTTAAATTTATCTGTTGGACAATTGCTATGGAACGACAGGCATCTCGTATGAGTGTTTTGCTATTTCAATCACTTATTCAGCGTGTAAGTAAAAATAATTTTTACACTTATAAAAAAACTTTATAATTCGTAATGATTGGTTGAAGAGTTACTAAAATAAATGATTATAAACGATCAAACTAGTTATAATACAGTTTATTCTATTTATTTCTCTTATCCCGTATTAAACATAAAACAAAATTAAGTGGGTCATTTTAGTCTCGATTTCTAATTTTCTTTTTCAAAAATTTTTTCTAATCAACAAACTAATAATTCGAAAAACGTTGTTAGTATATCAATCACATTATGATCTAGGATAAAATAATGTATTATTTCTCTTTCATTTTTTAGAACATGACTTACTTGGATACAAACGAAACTACTCAATACAATACGAAGCTTTTTACGTAAGCAAACTAAATAACTTTATAACAAACATTAATCTATAATCGATTTCCTTTACAGTAATATTGAAAAGATCAAAAAAGGGATAGGCTTTGACTTCTTATTATCAATTACACTTATTCTTGTCATGATTTTCAGTATAATCATATCTTTTATTCTCAACTGGCAATTGTCTTTAATTATGTTATGTATGATTCCATTTGTTGTTGGTAGTTCATTGATATTTGCTAAGGTATAAATTATTATTTATTTTGCTAAAATTTTATCAATAATTATAGGTCATTGAAAAAGAAACAAAAGAACAATTAAGTACATATTCAAAAGCTGGACAAATCGCTCAAGAAGTGTTTAGTTCATTAAGAACTGTTCTCTCATTCAATGGAAGCAAATGGCAACAAAAACAGTAAAGAAATGAATAAATAAATAAATAAATAAATAATTCTATTATTTATCTTTATCTAGATATGAAAAAGAATTAAAATTGAATGAATGGTATACTATTCGTAAAGATGCTGCATTTGGTGCTTTTTCTGGTTGGTTATTTTTTACAAGCTTTGTGGTTTATGCAATTGGTTTCACTTTTGGTTCCATTCTAATGTCCTCTAGAAATCATCGTGCACTGACCATTAGTGAGATTCTTGTTGTAAGTCTGCTATAACATCACTATTCAAGAAAATAACTGAAAAACGAACTTTCGTTTAGATTGTAAATATGTTTGCAATAGCTTTCACTTTACTTAGTTCAATTGGGCCGTTCTTTCAATCAATTTCGGAAGCTCAAAGTGCAGCAGTATCTGTATTTCGACTTATTGATGAGGTAAAATCGATTGAATGCCAGATACTAAACCTTGGTAATAATATTTTCTAATTTATTTTATCATATAGGCACATCATGAGAATATCAATGAGAGAGAAATATTGCAAGAGAACATATCTGATGAAAACTCGATTTCTGATATCAATGGTGATATTGAATTTGACAATGTTAGTTTTTCTTATCCATCAAGAGAAAATACAACAGCTTTGAATAGTCTTAAATTCATTGCTCGTGCTAATCAAACAACTGCTCTTGTAGGTTCAAGTGGTTGTGGTAAATATTTTTTTCTAAAACAAACATAATATTTTAATATTGAAATTTATTGATAGGAAAAAGTACATGTGTGTCACTTCTTCTTCGTTACTATGAACCTTCCTCAGGCAGAATTATAATGAATGGTCAATCAATTACGGATTATAAAATCAAACAATTTCGTCAAAATATTGGAGTTGTTAATCAAGAACCTGTAGGTTTCTTTCATTTTCTTTTTTAGTCTCTGTCGAATTTTTCTATTAAAATAGATTCTATTTGGAATAAGTATTTATGAAAATATTCGTTTTGGTAAATTGAATGCAACACGTGCAGAGATTGAAAATGCTGCAGAACAAGCTAATGCACATAAATTCATTATGAAATTACCAAATGTTTGTTTTGAAATATTTATATTTATTTATATTAATATATTTGTTTGCAGAAATATGACACACTTGTTGGTGAACGTGGTATACAACTGAGTGGTGGTGAAAAACAACGTATTGCATTAGCTCGTGCACTTGTCAAACAACCCAACATTCTTTTGTTAGATGAAGCAACAAGTGCACTTGATAATGTTAGTGAAAGAGTTGTTCAAGAAGCACTTGATCGAGCATGCAAAAGTAAGAATTATTTAATTACTATTATTTATATTATTATTATTGTTACATATATATTTAGATCGTACAACAGTAGTTATTGCTCATCGTTTAACTACGATTAAAAATGCTGATTATATCTATGTATTAGATAAAGGAAGTGTAATTGAAGAAGGTACACATGAAACATTATTGGCAAAAGAAGGAGGGAAATATCAAACAATGGTCAAAATGCAACAATCTGAAAATACGTTTCATAGACAAGAGAGTCTGATGCGAATGGAAAAAGCAGCAGCTGAAGATGAAGAGCAAATTTGTATGTGATTAATATTCTAATATTAATAATTAGTATATTTTATGAACTTGAATTTGTTTTTTGAAATAGTGGAACGCGTTCGTCTATTGAGTGAGACTGAAGCAATTGATATAAATCGGGTAAAAATAAATATTTGATAACTTTAAAAAATCATTACTAATGTATAAATTTTTAGAGAGCTTCGATACCAGCAAGAGAAAAATCTATCTTTGTTAGACTCTTGAAGATGAATAGTCCTGAATGGATGTTTATCCTGATGGGTTGTTTCGTATGCTTACTTGGTGGATTACGTGGACCAGTGTTCTCTATTTTATTCGCAAAAATAATTAATGTGAGCAGTTTTATTCATATGAATATTCTGAGAAAAGATCAAAGATGTGTCTTTTTCTGTCGAATTTATCTTTTATTTAGGACTTTAATGATTGTAAATACACTGATACACGTCGTCGAGTGTTGATTACAGGTGGTTTATTTATTCTTACTGGCGTTGTTTTTATGATTCTTAATTTTTTCCAAGTAACAATTTTATTTCTAAATTATATTAATGAAATTTTTTATCTTTGTCTATAGTTTGTGGCTTTTGGAGTCGCAGGAGCAAAATTAGTTAGTCGCATTCGTTCAAAAGCTTTCGCATGTTTTCTACGGCAAGAAGTAGCTTATTTTGATCGACCTGAAAACAATTCTGGTGCTATATGTACTCATCTCTCTTCTAATGCAGCTGCTATTGAAGACATGGTTGGTACAAGATTAGGTGTTATTTGTCAAGCTTTATCCATGTCTGCTTTTGGCTTCTTACTTGGCTTTTTTTTCAACGTGCAATTAACAATCATTATAGCTGTTCCTTTCGTTATCCTACTGATCGTCAGTATTATCCAAATACGGTTGAGTTCATGGTTGAAAACACAATCCGATCTCATTTACGGTCAAGCTAGCACGGTAAAATCATCTTATTATCATACACTATTTGATCAAATGATTATTAAATATTCATTCTATTTTTTTTGTCTTGTTTAGCTTGCTGTTGAAGTTATTAATAATATGCGTACAGTAAAACAGTTATCAATGGAAAATGAAGTTTTACGACAATATACGAATATGATTGGTCAAGTATTAATGTTAGTCTTATGAATACTGTCTATATATGTATATTTGAAAAAAAGCTTTTTTTACATAGTAACGAAAAACCGTAAAAAATAACTGAGAAAACAATAGTGAGGTCAAAACTTGAGCGAAATTTGATGATGTAGTTGTTTTGATTGGAGTAAGTTTATTTTCTTGTCATAGTAGATCTAAATATATATAAAGTAATAAACAAAACTCCGATTAGTTTGAAGAATCTTGATTGATTTTGTCGAATACATACTCTTTTATATAGATAATAAACTAATAAAATCAAATATAGCTCTCTTGTTTTTCACAGATATTGACATCAATTTTCAATAAATTATGTTTTGTTTAGAATGTCTTGGAGACTTGAAGCACTGTATGCAGCAATGTATGGATTGTTCTGGACATTGAGTCCATTGACTTTGGGATTTTTGTATTGGCGTACTTTGATTCTTGTTGAAAACAATGAAATAGACATAAGCAATGTTGTTATGTAACTAAAACAATAATTTTTATAATCTATAAGTTAAGTTTGATTATTTTTTTTATTATTTTATAGAGTCTCTGCTTTTGCAATGTTCGCATTAGAATCATTAAATGTTGTTGGAATGTTGTAAGATATAGAATTTATGTTTTCTTTTTGTTTTTATTATTTTCATTTCAGAGCACCACGTATGGGTGCATCATTTGCTGCTGCTCACGCATTTTTTGATCTCTTTGATCGAATACCAACTATTGATAATGGATCTGACAAAGGACAAGAATTAGTAAAAGAAAAATTATTAACTTTCAATTCTATATTTTAATTTTGAATTGTTTAGACTAACTTTAGTGGAGAAACAGAATTTAATCAAGTTAAATTTATTTATCCAAGTCGTCCAACAGTTCTTGTTCATAATAAACTTCAATTATCTATTAAATCAGGTCAACGTATAGCTCTTGTTGGTATGTGCAAAATAAATTATATTTTCTAGTTTCTTAATCATATAATATAATCGATTTAGGTGCATCGGGATGTGGAAAATCAACCGTAGTTCAATTATTAGAACGATTTTATGATGTTACATATGGACAGTTGGTAAGTATCGATTTTCTATATTTATAATTCAAGTATTTATATAAACGATATTATTATAAATAAGACTCTTGATGGTGTTGATATTCGAAAGTTAAATCTTCAATGGCTTCGTTCTCGCTTGGGTGTTGTTAGTCAAGAACCTGTTTTATTTGATTTAACAATTGCTGAAAATATAACATATGGATTAGAAAATATAACAATGGATGAGATTGTTCTTGCTGCAACTAAAGCTAATATTCATGAATTTATTCAACAATTACCTCAAGTTAGATTAATATTAAATTATTTAGTAATATAATCTTATATTGTTATAGGGTTATGAGACAAAAGTTGGAGTAAAAGGTAGTTTTTTATCAGGTGGTGAAAAACAACGTATTGCTATTGCTCGAGTTCTTATTCGTCGACCTAAAATATTATTATTAGATGAAGCTACAAGTGCTATGGATCCACACAATGAAAAGGTAAGTTTATATTCTTTTCTATATAGTGTTAAAATTTAAAACTTAAATATTTTTAATTTGCAGATAGTACAAGAAACTCTTGAACAAGCTCAAACAGAAGATCCTAGTCGAACATCAATTATTATTGCACATCGTCTTTCAACAATACGTTCATGTGACTTAATATGTGTGTTTGAAATGGGTCGTATAGTAGAAAGTGGTACTCATACAGAACTAATACAAAAAGGTGGAATTTACTATACAATGTTAAATGCTCAAAACAACGTACAATAATAATTATTCAACTACTCCATTAACAAACAAATAAATACTTTTACATCTATAGCCACACAAGCGTTTTTTTTTACTGACGATCTTTTTTTTCTAATATGTATGAAATTAACTTTGAATTCAATTATATTTCACTTTATAGAAAATTTCAATCATCAAATTTTGATATCAATGAAATATTTTAATAAAGTAAATAATAAAAGAGAAAGTGTGAAAGTATTAACATAATATTTTATTTTACATTATGAGTTCACAACATCCATTGATCAATTTTTCATTATTATCTTGCCGTAAAAGAATATTGGATATACTTCTTGAGGGTGGGCGTGGGTGTAACTGAATAAAGTATACACACCAACACTGATACTCCCCCATATCCACATCTACTCTGTGTACTATTTATTTGTAAAAAGTATAGAAATTAAATAATTCTTTACGTATCAGTTGTGTTAATCAGAGTTATACTTTATAGTTATTACTCTTATATATACATATAGTACTGAAGAATTAATCGAATTATTCAATAATTTAATAGCGATGATTGTTATGCGTATAGAGACAACATATCTTGATTAATTTGAAATCAAACATATAAATTTCTTTTTTTTTGTTGCCAAGAAAAGTGATGATGAATTCATTTCAAATTTATTAGTTAATTATCTTTCGAACGATATAAATAAAAAAAATATAATGTTCACTTATCGGCTTATTTTCATAACAAATTTAATTAAATTAGGCGCGTTTTCTATAACAAATCATCATTTTCAGATAAAATCGCATGATTTGATCGTAAACAACCGAATGTCTCTAAATATTTCTGAGAAAAAGTTAGTAAATCAAAACTCGTTAAAATTAATCATGAACTTCGTTTCGAAATAGAGATCATCAAATATCAACTGATAATCAGTTACCAGTATTCACAGATGCATGGCAAAAAACACTTTATCAAAATACATTTCGTATTGATTCAATACAATCACAATCAACTTCACCTACTATTGAACGAGATAAAATGAATCATCAATTAACTATTGAAATATTTGATCGATTATTAAAATTTAGTAATGAATCTGTAAGAGATTTTTTCTGTGTACTTTATTTATAATAAATGAATATTTTTTTTAGGATAGACCATTATTTTGTCAACGTTTACAAGTTATATGGGAAGAACAAGGTATTTTTTGTCAAACACATCCAACAATTACCAATCAAATACTTGATTTATATAAACTACATCATTTAGTTCAAGAAAAACAAGGCTATTTAGAGATAACAACAAATCGAGGT